TCATTTATTTAAGGTCAGTTCACCTGTAGGGAGGAGAAAAAATATCTCTCATAAGTTTATTAAGTGGTTGGGTTTCACACTAGACCAAGACAACGAAAGGACTGAATGAATGTATTTAAATGTCTTTCAGTTTTGTTTTTATTTGTACCATGAGTTTGTACCATGAGTCATGGCTTTGGAATCAGACACATGTTGATGTGAGTTCCAACTTCATCTTGACAAACTGGGCAACCCTGGACAAATGTCATTTCTCAGGGCCTCAGCAGCCTTATCTGTAAAGTGGGGTTTAAAGTAGTATGTACTTTCTGAAACTTCTGAGAAGGTGGAACGAGATAGTGTACCTACTACATTTCTGGCTTAGAGCAAATACCTACTTAATGCCGGCTGTCATTCTTATTATCTCAACTTTTGTTCTTACTGCACAACGTTGCATATAAGCAAATGTGTACAATAGGAGTGTGACCAAGTCTGTAAAAACAAGTGACTATGACAATGTGAAGAAACGAGACATATGCACTTAATATAGCTCAGTACCATTTACTACATGGGAAGCACTCTGCACATGCTAGACATACTAACCTCTCATAACTCTGAGAGGGTGCCTGCTTACATTTCATTACAGAAAAAATTTCAGAGAAAAATTTATAATTTATAATGAACCTTCATGTACACATCTCTCATCTTTATCAATTACCAACATTTTGTGACTATTTTTCTGGAATGTTTTAAGACTAATCCAGATTGTTATATCATTTTCCTTACAAATATTTTAGCATGCATTTCTACTGGATAAATGTGTGTATCTAGCTGTCTATCTGCCTACCTACCTACCACTGTGCTGTCGTTACACGTACCAAAATGAACAATAATTCCTTAATATCAAAGACTTATTTCATATTGAAAAGTCCTCAGTTGCTTCCAAGATATATTTTTATAGATACCAAGTGGTATGGATTTTATCTTCGATCTGTCTGTAGCTTCCTACACAATGTGACACAAATTCTCCATTTTTCAGCTCTTACATATCTGGAGCCAGCTCACTCCAAAGGGTGAGGGAGAAGAAGCTGATGTAAGATTTGTCTTCAGATCTTTGGAGGTGTGGTGGTACATGTGAAGTTTAAAAAAATACACACCCTTAGATCTAGGCCTTTTCATTCATTCATTCATTCATTCATTCATTCATTCATTCATTCATTCATTCCAGGCATTCTCTGGGCTGTCCCTGTGGGTTTCATTCAGCACTGCCCTGTGAGCTCTGAGTACAGAAGTGAATAAGCAAGTGCCTGTCCTCAAGGAATTTCTAGTGCAGTGTGTATACTGGGGGTGGGGAAGGAGTAAGAACAGTTCTAGCACAGTAAGAAGCACTGAGTTAGGGGGGATGTGGGGTGTTGTCAGAACATCTGCTCTGTCACAGGAAACTTCTAAGAGCCAGTTCTGCAGAGTCGCCACAGGTCCGTGGTAACTGGACAGGAAGAGGAGTGGAGGAAGGACCGTACAGGCAGAGGAGACCACATTTGCAAAATGTAGAGGAAGGAGAAACATGGGCTGACACAGTTTCCTGAAGTGGTTCAGTCCAGCTGGAACATCCAGGTGAGGAGGGAGAAAAGTGGAGGTTCAAGGCCAAAGAGGGTGGCAGGGCATAATGGGCCCCACAGGACATGTCTTAGAGTCCCTTCTTTTGAAGGCAATTGTTTGAAAGGCTATAAGGTGATATGGTCATGTCTGTACTAGAAAGCTTCCTCTGGTTGCTCTGTGGATCATGATGGCTGTTGAAGGAGGCTGGAAGCCGGGAAGTTAGGCAGTGGCCTTGACTGTGGCGACAAGCAGATGGAAAACCTCATCAAGTAGAGCACAGGGACTGAAGGTGTGGCCTTTGGGGCTCTAGAAACTTACCCTGCCTCCACTCCCGAGAGCAATGGGGTTCTGGAGGAATCATGGGATGGTGAACGCCTATTCGACAAGGGGGCAGAAGGTCTGGGCTTTGGGCCTGCCATCCTCACCCCGCTTTCTGAATGTGCCTTTGTGGGTATATCTCTTTACTTTGCTGCCCTTATTTGTTAAGTTGGACCATGATAGATAGCTCCGTTCCTTTCCAGAGAGTCCATGGGAGGGTTAAATGAGTCATACCACACTGAAGCAATTTGCAAACTCTACAGAACTTGGCAGTTTGGTATCACATTCCCGGGTCTCTGAACCCGCCTCAAAACACGAGTCGTATCTCTGTGGACCGCATATAGGATTGGGGCTCTGGCAGATTCCATTTCTAGAAGAAACTTTAACATTCCTCGAAGGAGCTTTAACTGCGCTAGCAAATTTAATCTCAAAATATTCTCGCAGGCGACACGTTGGTCTCCGCAGTTTTGCGGGCACATCGGTTTCTGATTAGAGTTACAGTCTGAGCGGGGAAGTGACTTTGGAAGAGACGTGCGTGCTGGCAGCGGATGGGGAAAAGGGTTAAGAGACAGGGAGGGTTTGCTGTAACTCACCCCTGCTCCGGTTGGGATTCTGAGTGAATATGAAAAGTAAGCAGAAACTCAATTAGTAACCCCTGAACTCGCCCCGTGTTATCTCTGAGAACACCCCTTCCTCCCATCCTATGCCTCCGAGTGAGAGCAGGCTTTCTGTCAAGCTATTGCAGAGAAGGATGCAGACCCAGAGGAAACAGGATGAAGCAACTCGAGGCTGCTTCTGCTTCCTCCAGCATCTTGAATTCAGGGTTTTCTGTGAGGATTAGGAAGTTCTAAATTCTGAGAGCTTAAAAGAAGATAATTATTTCTATTAAGTTCCTACTATGTGCCACACAGGCATTCCTTTAAAGGTCTTATTTATTTAAAAATTTTTTAATCCTCACCCAAGGACATTTTTTTTTCATTGGTTTTAGAGAGAGAGAGAGGGAGAGAGAGAGCAATATGGAAGCAAGGGGGAAATATCGGCCAGCTGCCTCCTGTATGCAACCAGACAGGGAATCACAATCACTGGGGACTGAACCCCAAACACTGGCATGTGCCCTGACTGGGAATCCAACCTGCAACCATTAGGCTATGGGATGACACTCCAAGCAACGGAGCCACCGGGGCCAGGGCTCAAAGTTGTATTAAGTGCTGGTATTATTGTCCCCATTTTATAAATAAGGAAACGGAAGTTCAGAAAGGTGAGCAAAGTATCAAGGACTTCTTGTGCTTTAAGTCATTCAGTTCTCAAACAATAATGTGAGGCAGCTACTACCTATCATTTTTTTCCTCGTCAAGTGCATTGCCGCTCTTCCCTGTGTCTCTTTCTGCAGTGTTTCTCCCTGCAGTGGGAGAAAACACTGTGGGAGGACTGTGTTTCTTCTTCATCGAAGGCAGGCTTGGCCATGTGGAAGGTGAGTGGAACTGACAGGTGTCATTGTTGAGTAGAAGCTTGAAGATTCGGAGTCTGCGTTGTCATTATCTCTTTTTTTCTGTGCTATTAGAAAAAGAGGGTCTTGGATTGAAACTGCCCAGTCGACCCAGGTCTTAAAGTAAAGGTAATACAGGGGGAAGTCAGCCATGTGTGGACATATTAAGAAGAATCCAGAGGGTTTAGGATCATTCGTTATACAGTGTAGCCTAGCTTAGAACAACTTAAGTACCATCTGAAGAAAATGAAGTTAAGGGAGGTTATCGAAGTGTGTAGCTATTAAGTGGTAAAGCTGAAACTTGAGGTCAATTATGTCCTATTCTAAATTGTCCACTTTTGACCACTGTATTACTCTTCCTTGACAGTTCTGTTTTCCTGAGATTTTCCTATATTTTATAGTGACTGCTTTAGAACAACAACAGGAGCAGCTAGCTTCAATAGACTGAAGAGTGGGAAGGTCCTTGGTGAGAAAGGGAAGTGAGTGAGAGCCATGATTAGTAATTTCAGAGAACAAACAATTCATCTGGGGATTTTGTTAAAATGCAGATACTGAGCTAGTATGTCTGGGCAGGACCTAAGATTCTGTATTTCAAACAAGGTTCCAGACGAAGATTATACTGCAGGTGCCTGCACCATTCTTTGAGTAGCAAGCCTTGGGGGTGCCAGTTATTCACTGCGTTGATGCTAGAAAGGTAAAATAAAATGGTATTACACAGTGGCTAAGAATGTGTAAACAGGACTGGGACTAGATTCAAGCAAGCTGGGTGATGAGGGGACAGAATTTAAGGAAGCAAAGGAGAGCAAGTGCCGAGTGTGGACTCTCAGGGCCCTGAGGGTGGGTTTAATCTGCCACGATTTGTTTCTAGGTTGATTCTAATAGTTGAACTTGAAACCTCAGTTAGCATGGAGCCAAAGAGTATGTTCATATGCTTGATTTTCACCTACACATAGGTTCTGATGTCATTGATTATTATAAGGCCATTCCAAGGAGGATGCTCTTCTGCTAGTACAAATATACTCTTTTCTAATCAGAAAAAGGCTCAAAATCATGTCATGCTTTGGGTAGCTTCTTTCTTGAAACAAATTATTAATTTTTGGTTTATGTGTTTATTTTCAGATTATCTTTTGTTCTTATGTTCTGTTCCTTTATTATTTTTTCAAGTTTTTCCAAGCTGGCAGTTATAGTATAGTATCTATGAAGTCAATGTCTTCTACCATCAATATCCCTCAACAATTTTATCCTAAAAAATTTGGCACTATTTTTCTAAACTGGATTGGACATTTCTGTAGTAAGATGTTTAATAAAACAATTATTTTTTTTCCTCTAAGTTGTAGCTAGATCTGAAAGCTAAGGTTAAACTATCCTGAGTCACTTATATTCTAAAGAGAAACCTAATAGAATGTGCACCAGCTTTGGGCACATTCTATTCCAGTGACCCCTAGCTCTTCCCTAGAAGCAGCAACCAATTCTACTATCAGACACCAGCAGCCCTTCTCCTTACCTCCACGTCTATAAAAGTGGGGTAGGCAAAGGGGATGGGGATCATAAGTTACCTGAGCCATCACTGGCCTTGTGAAAAGTCTGTCCTGATGAGTGGTTTTTCCTTTTCAGAAGGCAGGAAAAAGGAAATTCCCAACATCCCCCAAGCCAAGTAATGGGAACATGAAGAAAATAACCCATAAAGATTTGGAATACCTACAAGGTAAGACTGACATATTCCTTCCCTGATAGATAACACAGAACTTGCAGGAACACCTGGAGGTGGGAGAGGTTGTGAGGGACTCATGTCTGTAACACACTGGGCAGGTCAGTTCCTTCTTCAGCGGAAGGCTGCTGCATGCACACCCTAGGATGTGGCTTTCTTATTTCGTCTCATTAGTCAACAGACGCTTCTGATCCTGAAAGTTTTTCACTTCTCTCATCCCACACCGTTACTGTTCCCCCTTTCACTTCTCTTTCTTCCTTACATGTTAAGTTTTCTCTTTTAAACATTCTTTTACATTTATTATAATAGAAATCTCAGGGGAAGATGCCATGGACTAAATGCTTGGGTGTTCCCACATTTCACGTCTTGAAACCCTACCCACAAATGTAATGGTTTTTGGACGTGGAGCCTTTGGGAGATAATTAGGGTTAGATTAGGTCATGAGGTGGGGTCTCTAATGATGGAATTAATCCCCTCATAAAAGAGGAGGAGTCACAGGTTCTTTCTCTCTGTGTGCATAAACCAGGGAAAGACCACAGGAGGACATACCCAGCAAAAAGGCCCTCACCAAGAACCCAAACTTTCTGTCTCCCTGACCTCACAATCTTGGATGCACAGCCTCCAGAACTGTGAGAAATAAATATTTTCTGTCTAAGTCACCTAAGAGTTGATGATTTGTTATAGCAGTTGAAGCTGGTTGAAACAGAGAGGAGATTGGTGCAGGCTTTCTGTCCCCCATTTTCAATGGCATGTCTCTCGTAACATTAGGTTATGCATCTATCTTTTGAAGTTTACTTACACTACACATCAGTATTTGTGCATTGTTTACAAGAGAAGGAAAAGAATGGGCACACGCAGTTTACAGACCTGGTTTAAATCCTGGTTCTGTCACTTACTGGCTACACGATCCTGGGCCAATTTAACTGTTTTGCTTATCTGTGGTATGTCAATGACAACAGCAAGAAACATAATGGTGATAACAATGATAAACTCAACAACACCAGCATCTCAGCTGTTTTTTTTTTTTTATCATGAATAGGTATTGCATATTTACCACACCTAGTTCCGGCATTAATGAATTTCATGAGTGTATATGAAGCACCCACTGTGTGCCTGGCACTATCATGGGTACTGGAGATGCTACAATGAATAAGAGAGATATTGTCTGTGTCCTGATAGAGCTTATGGTCCAGCGCAGAAGGTGGCCAGCTTACAGCGCAGCCCATGGCCCAAATCTTGCCCTTGGTCTGTTTCTGCACAGTCTTTGAGCTAAGATTGGTGTTATGTTTTTAAAGTGTTGTTAAAAAAATTAAATGTGATAAAGACTTGTATGTGGCTTGCAAAACTTAAATTACTTACTACCTGGCCTTTTCTAAAAGACTTTTCCTATTCCTGGCCCAATGGAATATACATGAAGTATTCAGTACATGCTTTTCATATATCAGTTCTTAGTCAGACATTCCTTGTGTGAATTTCTGCGTAATCTATCTGTCCCTTCAATTCACCATATTCTTACTGCTGCCCTTGAAGTAAAACTCAACATTTTTCACACAGTTACAGGTCCTGAATGGGTGACCCATGTCCCTCTGCAGCCTTTTCTAATTATATCCTGTTTATACTCCTGCCACCCTGGATTTCTTTCTTTTTAGCAAACATTGCACATTTGCCTCAGCGCAGGGGACTGTTACTCTCCACTCCCCCCTATTCAGCTAGTTTACTTGCCACTTATTCTTCAGAATTTACCTTTAAAGTCATTCTTTTTGGGAAAATTTCCTTGACCTCTTCTTGGTAGATCAGCCTCCCCACTCCCTTTACTTGTTTTCATGGTTCCTGATGCTTATGGTATCTTTATATCAATATTTATGGTTGTTATTATTATTGCCATCCCCTCCACAAGTCAGTTTCATGAGGGCAGGGGTTACCTCTCTTTTGTTTACTGATTCATCTCCAGCAACTACCGTTCTCGTCTGGGGCCCAATAACGATTAGGTAAATACATGAAAGAAAGAATGAATGATTTGGTTTCATTTTTGTTGAAAAGAAATAGATCAGAAAGCTTACAGAATTCTTGCAACATGGGAGTGCTTTCTTTTCCCAGGGAAATTCACCCCCAAATGGAATTTCTGTGGCTCCATCTCATTCCTCCCATGTAATTAATGGAGGCCCAGTGAGCTGTTTGTGCTGATACATCATCTGCACTGCACAGCAAATGCATTTGTTACTGAGCTATCTGGGCCAAAGCTAATGAAACATTTGCAAATGTCCTGATTTACAAAGAGAAAATTGGTTCACCTGAATGACAAGCTTTGCACGCAAGGGAAGTGTTCTTTGCAATTTTCTAGTTGTGTTCTGGGAAGCCTCAGACTCCTAAGGAAACACACATCAGCAGTTTCCTCTAGAAGTCAAAAGCTAGAGGTCACCTTGGAGGCACTCCAATGTCCTGAGATCCACATTGTTCCATGCGATCCTCATGTGAGCTTCAGGATGCCTGGGAGCCCTCTGAAATTGTACACAAACTGCGTATTTGCATGTGTGCACTGTTCTAGAAAAATATTTTTTTAAGATTTTATTTATTTATTTTTAGAAAGAGGAGAAGGGAAGGAGAAAGAGAGTTAGAGAAACATCAGTGTGTGGTTGCCTCTCACACGCCCTCTACTGGGGTCCTTGGCCTGCAACCCAGACATGTGCTCTGACTGGGAATTGAACCAGCGACCCTTTGGTTTACAGGCCAGCACTCAATCCACTGAGCCACACCAGCCAGGGCTATAAAAAGATTTTTAAAGATTTAATAAGTTTTCAATGAAGCCTGTGTCAGACAAATAGTTAAGAGCTAGTGATCTAAGAAAACCCAGGGTTTCCTTAACTTTGATTTTTAATTTTTTTCAGAATATAAAGAATAGGGAGCAGAGATATAGCCGACCATAAATTCTAATGGGATCCTTTGTACCTCTAGTCCCAAACTTTCCTGATCCACTGTGCAGATAAGGAGACTGATTTGGATCAGGCTAAAGAGATGGCTTGCCCTGGCTTCACAGCAAGTGAGACACAAAACCAGGATAAATGCTCCGTCAGTCCAATGTTCTTTATACCACCATCCGCTTTCCACTAATATGTTAACCTTTCCATCCTGGTTTTATCTGTTTCCCTGCTCAACACCCAATTTTGTTCCCACTCAGTTATTCTTTCTCTCGGTCCCCTACCATCATTTTCTCAACACGAACTTTTAAAACTATTTATCAGTTGTGACCAGATTATCTCTAAGAAGAATTTTGGCTTCAATAAATGGTTGTTCAACAGGGTTGATGAATTAGAAATTGAAATACAATAGGGTAATATATTTATCGTTTCCTTTCCAAATGTATCTCTCAAGTGATAGTAAAGAAATAAATTATATAAATCAAGAACCGAAAGAATTGATGATAAGAAACAAGAGAATCGAAGAGGAATGAGTATTACATGGGAGACTTCAAATTTTAGAAATTGAAAATGGATACTAATTGAAATAAGCCTGTCTGAAAAGGCTGTATTTTGTATAATTCCAAGTAAGGGACACTATTTGGAAGAGGAAAAACTTTGGAGACAGTAAAAAGGTACATGGTTGCCAGGAACTGGGGGAGGGGAGGAAAGTGATAGGCAGAACATATTTTTAAGGCAGTAAAAACACTCTGCATGATACTCTAATGCATGATGTCATTGTGCATTTGCTTAAGCCCATAGGATGTATAACACCAAGAGTGAGCCCTCATATAATCTGTGGACTCTGGATGATAATGATGTGCCAATAAAGGTTCACCGATTTAAAAATTACAAGTGTCACTCCAGTGGGGGTTGTTGAAAATGGGGGAGGCTATGGATGTGTGGGGGCCGGGAATATATAAAATCCCTGTAACTACTGCTCAATTTTTCTGTAAACCTAAAACTGCTCTAAAAACTAAAGTTAAAAAAAGTGTGCCAACCATTTATGCATATACTGCTTGTCAGCTCCAAATGCGTCCATCCCAGCCTCCTCTGAGATAAGGAAGATGTGGGTCTTATAAATATTTCTCCTTTGCCAGTTGACATGATATTACATGTTGCCAGTACAGGAATCTGGAGAGACACTGGAGAATGAAGGGTTTTTCTTTCAGGTTCTAGTGCATGCCTTTCTCCCACCTCCCCACACGGTTTCTGCAGCACCCAGTTCTTGTAGAGCTTGGTAGTCAGTAAGGTCCAGCAGTACCTGGAACGTCCCCATGCCCCTCTTCTGTGGTTTTGTGCCATGTTCATAGGCAGAGAAACCCCTCTGCAGAGGGCTTCCCCCCTCCAGAGAACAGACTGCAGTGTGTGACCCCGATGAAGTGCCTCAGTGAACTTCTCTACTATCCACTGAACCACAGCACACCCTCTCCAGTAAGACCTGGATCTCACCCAGGGCCTAGAGGGGGGATTCTTCCTTGGTGGGCTGTCATAGCACTGGGGGTAGTGGTTTCTACCTACACCAGCTATTCCCACATACTCTAGAGTTATTTATACTTCTCACTAACCCATTCTCATTACTCCAATGCCATATTGTAATTTATAATTCTTTATATTAAACTTTCACTGTTAAAATTATTATGTCATTTCTGGCTCTTGATTGGATCTAATGGTTATGATTAAAGATAAAAGACAAGAAAATTAAAGAACCAATTCAGGTAGAATAATATATAGCTCATAGAAATTCTATTTTAAAAAAATTAAAATTTTTTGAATTAAAAGGCAAAAGAGTTTCTATATTGAAAGTTCCTAATAAGTGATCAGATATTTTAAGCTATAAAAGATCCCCCATAAGCCACATAATCATAAACTTTCACAACATGATCTTTGTCAAAGGCAAAAAGAAGATTCTAAAAATCTCCTCTTTGGCTGAAAAAGATCATCTATTTAAAAAAAACAATAAAAATCGGAACAATGATGTTCAGTTTATAGAATGTTGTAACAATAAAGCTAGGCCATTACTAACTCTAGTAACAATACAGTCCAGAAATATTCAAGAAAAGCAAGTTCCATGTTCATTTATATAAACAGAAAATGACAAATATTTTACTTAAATAAAAATTATATCATAAATATGTTTTATATAAGTGTAGAGATGCTAATGTCTTAAGCTGAGAAAACAATATTATTAGGAACAAAATCCTTAGATATCTTTCTACATACTACAAAATCATGCTAATGATTTTAAGAAATGAGGTTCCTTCGAGTATCAGGAATAGGGAGAAAATAGGGTGTGGAACTCTGGTCATCTTATGGTCATGAAATGTTTTGGTCATCTTTTCCAACTATGGGCATGTATATATTTTCACTGAATTGTAAAGTAAGAGGCAAAAATAAAACTTTCATTGGGGAGACAAATGAGATAACAAATAGAAGAAATCAGCCAAGTCTTTAGCAGGCAGTTATTATTTAATAAGATTGGTGAGTTGAAGAAGCAAGTTTTTGGGAAAATATCTATGACTTAGCATTAACTTACGACTATCATAACTTCAAGGAAGGTGGTAAAAGAACAGGTAAAATTTTGCTTGACATAAGGAACCATACCCATTCTTGAGGTTACACAAACTTTTTCTGGTATTCAATTTTAGATAGATGTTATGACATGGATGGTTCAAAAAGTCAATGAACAACACTTTAAATGATGTCTTAGACAAGATTTTGACTGGAAGAGGAAAATCAATCTTTGCAGGAGTATATTTCTCTTATATACTTGACTCACTACTAACAAATGCAACAGCAAATATCCCCCCTGGCATCCACATAATTACACAGATAATGCCATTAAAATCTTAATAAATATATACATATTTTAAAAGCTGTAAAAAACTATATTATGTGGATTAGTGTATATGGTTCTAAATTTAAAAATATTCTGAAAGTCTAATTAATAAAAGATTCAAAGATAGAATATTTGGAAGACTGGATCAATAACAGACTTTTCAACTATCTCCATTCCAGGACTGAGGTCAGTTGAAAGCATTTCGACATCATTTGCAGTCAGGTAATTGGCCTCTTTTCAACAGAGGCAAGGCATGGGCTGACCACATAACCACAAGCATGCCCAGGAATTCAGAGGTTGGATCGCCCAGAAACAAATGGCTCACCAAACCTTTAAAATATGCTATTGCTAAAACCAGTTTCATGCACCTACATTTCAAACAGAGCTCATACCCAAAGTCAGTGTGATATAATGTGATCAAGTTGCAGCAGCCAGTTCCAATGTGAGGCTGGCAGGAGTCTTATTATGAAGTAGCATTTGCATAGGAACCTATCCAGAGGACTCTGATCAAAACCCCCACATATATTTTTTTAGTGAGAGAGAGGGGACAGAGAGATGGACAGATAGAGAGATTAAACTCACAGATGGACAACAATGTTGAAGGACTGAGTGGACTCCATCCTCACTTGCGGTCCACAGCAAAGCAGAACATTGTATGACAGGTTTCGCATGGCCGATTAGCATCAGGAATGAAACTTCAAAGTGTGGCCTGGTAATCAGACCTCAGGATGACTCTGGTGAGAACTCTGCCCTAAATCTCAGAGACTTTAATCTCTCTCTCAGCTTCAACCACAATTAACTTGCCCAACCTCAGCTGCATCATTCCTCTTCCAATTTCAGTTTTTTTCCTCAGGTGGAATTATAATATAATACTGACTGATCTCACAGCAGTGTCTTGAGAGGCATACAAGATAATGTCAACAAAATGGTTTTGAAACAGTTGACAATTCTGTGCATATTTAGAATAATAGAATGGGTGTATAAAGTGTTTGTATAAAAATTTCAAATGTGGAGCAAAAATGAGAGTTTATTGGCTCATGTAACTGGGAAATTCAAGGGTACAGATGGCCCCAGGGAGCACTAGATACTTTAAAATTACCCAGAATCTGTTTATTCTTTATCTGTATTACCTGCATTACCCAAAAGTTTGACTTATTTTTTTATACCAGTGAGGTTTTCCATGCAATGGGTATTACCCTTTCATTTCCACTGCCTTAAGTACAAATTTAATTTCAGAGTGGAGGGGCCAAACAGCATGTATCTCTTGGCTTATGTTAAGCGAGTTTAGTTATGTAGAGGAAGAGAGATTTCTTGTTGGCATTTGCTTATAAATTTCAAGACAAGAACTCTAGTTAGACCAACTGGAATCACATAGCCATATTTGAGTCAGCAATTATGACCAAGAAGAGGGCTTCATAATTAGTCAGACCTGGTCATGTGACTGTCATGGACTATGCAGAGTAATAGATCTTCAGCTTTTCAAAGTAAGGAGGTGCTATTACCAGTGGAAGCAGCAAAGAGATATTGGGGGACAAATATCAGGTATCTATTATCTCAGTACTGCCAAAGGTCCCTGTGTACCCCCCTCTTATCTTGGTGATTATCACAAAAGAATGGAATTCTGTCTTTTCCAGATTGCATATGAGTATCTAATTTACTTTTGTATTCCCAGCACACAGGATTTAACATAGATCAGTTGCTCACTGATTGAAGGAATGAATAACTATTTTTTTGTTAAAACTGCAGAGGACTCTGCTATGCCAGTTCTTCTATGCATATGGGGAATCAACTCCTGTTTGTCTCCACCCCCAAATTCTCCCAGGCTCAAGAGTGCCACTTGGGAACTCCTTCTCTATACAATTTGTCAAATATTTAGTTGGGATCAATTATGAGCAAAGCCCTGTGCAAAGTTCTTCAGATGATTCAGAAGAGTGGTTTCCAGAATTACTTCTTGGTTTCCTAAATGGTGAATAAGAATCTCTGCCTCAAGAATCTTGCAGCCAAATTACAGCATTTGGTCATATAGATAATTCTTGGAAACAGGTGGCAGATACTGAAACAACCCATTTACATGATATATGCTATTGAAGTTCAGAGATGAGATAAACTAAGACCAACTGGAATCCATGGAAAAGCTAGAAGGTCAGGAGGGAGAGCAAGGTTCTTTTGAGAATGAGCAGGAAGGACCAATTACATTGGGTCTACTCTGATACAGACACTATGCTCAGTATCTTACAAACACTATCTTATTCTATCTTTATGAGCCCTTAAAAGTAGATATTGGTATCTGTACTTGGCAAGGCATAAAACTGAGGCTTGGGGAAGTTAACTAAATCAGTGAAACAATGCAAAAATTTCAGGGTTTATAACCATGCACTGATGTTTACAGTGGTGCAGCATTTCCTCCTATGATGTAGTTAATCATACACACATCACACCAGTCAGTGTTTCCAAGTAAAGATGACCCAACAGGATGTACAAATGATAAATTAGACATACATTAATACAGATAATTATAAAAATGTTAATAGGTGATGGGAATCGATTGTAGGTAATAGAGTACAAAGATGCATGGAAAATGAAGACACATGAAAATATAACTTAGATGGATAGATATGTACATATTCATATGGGGACAGTATCAGCCCTGTTTTTGTGAAAAGTCTGTTTGGCCATGTGTAATGTGCTCTGGTGCAGAGACAACTGAGTAGTTATGGGGAAGCCATGATCTGCTCCCATCTTCTCCACAGCTTCTCTGGCCCTGTGTCCTCATCTTTTCTAATCCTCAGTTTCATTGTCTGTAGAATGAGAATCATAAATGAAGCCCAGACTCCTCTCACAGGGTAGCTTTGAGAATCCTAAAAGGAGATTGTTGGGGAAGAACCTCAGAAATTGTAACATGCTCCATTTCCTTTTTGGGTTTGGCCTGAGGTGTTCTGCAGCTTCCTTTGAAAAGACAGTCACTCTCATCTCACATCTGGGAATAGGTTATTTTTGGAGAGGATGCGTATGCTTGGCTGCTGCCTGCCCATCACTGGATACGTGTTTTATAAGGTTTCACATTGCCTCTACCTTGCAGCTCAGCTTGTATAATCAAAAACCACTCTGATGCTTTCCATGTCAGCAAATGATTCTGTTCAATCTCTTGCACAATCTCCAAAGCTAAGCTCAGTAACAGACTGGTTTTTGATTTCAGATGATCTGCAGGCAAGATGAAAAATCAGTAGACTGTTTTCCACTCAAGATCAATACTTCTTTAACTTTCCTTTCCTCTGTCCTAGGGGACACATCTCTTCTCACCTCACTGGCTTCTGCCTTCCCACACTCCTTTTTGATTCTCCCCTCTCCCTACTACCTTACCTTTGGCACGGCTTGGTTACAATTCGGCATGTCTTCCTTTGGAGCTCCCCTGTTAATACCCATCACACCAGGTTCTGCTGGATGGCTTTACCCAAACACAGAGGCCCTTAAAACCAAGGATTTACTCTCCTACAGCCAGGAGACGAAGATTTGCGTCTTGCTGTGATGATGACCACCATGACCCAGAGAACTGATTTCACCCAAGTATTGATTTCCTTTTTTGCAAATTGGAGGCAACAATACCCACCCTGCTTTTATCCCCTGCAAACATGAAGCACTGAGAATGAAAAGGCCTTAGTTGTTAAATCCTATATTTGAAATTTTTAGTAGCAAGCAGTTTATTTAACTTTTTAATTTAAAAATGCATATGGAGTGCTTTTAACATGCTAAAAAGTAGTCTAAATTTTAAAAATACTATTCTAATAATTTAATCATAATGATAGCCTTTTAAGGTATATACTAGCAATATCCCCATATTATAGATGAAAAATTAGAGACAAAGAAGGTAAGGAAATTTGTCCCAAATTATGTATTTGGCAAGTTGTGGCACTTGGGTTCAGAAACTGTGATTTAATCACTTTGCTATGTTATGTAAGCAATTCAGTGATCCATTCATTATATGTCCTCTTTTGGATTACATCATGGTGTACTAATACAAGGATAGGCTAGGTTATTCCATGGTAATAAATGAGCACTAACAGAAGTTTATTTTTCACTCAGGCAGAGTGCAGTAAATGTCTAGACAAATTCTTCAGGGCAGCCATTGATTGTCTGATGACCCGGAGAACAAGAACCTGATGTTGGTGAGTTACTTACATCTGCCACCCCCACCATGGACTGCTATTCATTAGTTAAAAATAGTGAAATGGATGGGTAGATTACAATAAAAAATCCTGGTAAAGACAGAGTACTACTCAAAGGGGGAAAAAAGAACATGATATAAAATTTAGTTTTATTTAAAGTTAAAATATGTGCAATAAGACAAAACACATTATGCAAGAATATGCACACAGAAAAATATGCATTGAATATATTAAAATAGATGTACCTGTATTCATTTTCTATCTATCTACCTGGTGAAATGGAAGAGGAGAATAGATCCATAAGGAGTGTATATATGAGGTCTGTCTAGGAGATGTCTAGCCGTGTACTATGAAAAATAGAGACATTTATTGAAGAAGATACAAGATACAAGAAACATTGTATATAGGACAATGGCACCTCGGTCCCCTTCAAAGTAGGCACTTTAGGACCTCACACAGTTCTCCCAGTTACCATTAAGCTGCCCTGATATATTTTCCTGAATCTCATCAACAGTCTGAAATCTCTTCCCTTTCAAAGGTGATTTTAGTTCTGGGAAAAGCCAGAAGTCTTGGGGCAGTAAATCTGTGCTGTGGGGGGGGGGGCAAGTCACCTGGATGACTGACTGTTTTGCAAAAATACTGTGCATGAGACATAACACGTTAGCAGGCATGTTGTTGTGATGAAGCTGCCAATCACTAGTTGCCCATAGCTGCAGCCTTCTGAATCATCTGAATAGTTTCCGTGGAGGAATGTTCAAGCTTAATGCAAAATTTGATACAGATTTGTGGCTTTATGTCCTTATTCATTTTAAATGTAACAGTCACACAGTACACATGCTCATTCATTGGCGTCTACCGCTCCCACTGACTGGTACAGTGAAGTCATCATTGTTCATGCATGGACATTCCAGTCCACTGTCCTTGATTGCCAGGTTATATCAATGTCACACAAACCATTCTGGTTATATTAACAATTGCTAGACTTTTTAGGACAGACCTTGTATGTTACAAAAAATACAAGCAAAGGACTTGCATAGATAGATGGTGACCATCAGTCATGAAATGAGAAGTAGGTTAGCTTAATTCTCTAAAGCAGAGTGTGGCACACTGTAGCCCCTGGGCCAAATCTCACCCGCCCCTTTGTTTTACAAATAATGCTATACTGGAACATTCACTTGTTCTCATATTTTGTATGGCTGCTTTTGCAATACAATAGCAGACCTGACTAGTTGCAGCAGGTACAGACTACCTCACAAAGCCAAAAATATTTACTGTCTGTTTACAGAAAAAAAATTTGCACTCTAGAGAACAGTGAAGAAAGAACATATCTTTATCCTTATGAGTTTAGTCAAGTTCAGAGTTCAGTCAAGAAAATGGCACCCACTCTGTGTATTTTATGTAAGAATGACTGACTATGAAAATTGAGGGTTTACCCAGCCACTGAGAGCTAAGGGAACAAAGGTGAAGGAGTCATCCCAGAAGAACTCCTCCTGAAATGCAGAAGTGGTTGTTCTCAAACATTTTTCAGGATGCTACTGTGGTTTGCAAAAATCTCTGGGAAGCTCCTGCCCTCCCTCCTAGTATGCATTAGTGAGAGCACATGGCTTCCGAGAGCCTTTTGGCGAGCCACCATAAACCTCATGACATCCCCACGTACCTGCATGCAACTATCCCAGATGGTAATATCTTCCTTTTGCATTCTGCTTTCCAAATTTAGTGTCTCTCCCACTCCCATCGTCAAAGTTCAAGTGAGAATCATGTTGTGCAAGGGAGTCCTAGGAAATGCAGTTTGGCTTTTCCTCCTCAATGCAAAGGAGACTTAGAAGGAGGGGGTGGTAGTTATTGACAGTCAGTGGAACCTTGCTCTTTCATTTCCACTACCCTGAGTTTGGCAGGAGGACAAGAAATAGTTATTTGTTCTAATGATCCTTTGTTCCAGAATACTTTAACTCGAGACTTACAGACTTCGAGGAAGACAATGCTTAGTCTTAAGAGGGTTAGAATAGATTCTCATATCCTGCCCCCATCAGTGTAAGCGTGTGTGTGTCAGTGTGTTCTGTGTGTGTGTGTGTGTGTTTCTAGGAAGACATACTCATCATTATTAGTGCCAATTGAAAAGTTCCAGGATCCCTCAGAGGGGTTTAGACCATTGTGACCACTGGCTGCTCCTTATATGCAGAGGGCTTTGTGTTTTTCATGTACTTCAGAACTCTGCACAGTGTCTGTTACAGAGTAAGCTTTCCATGAATGTTGGTGAAATCAGTAATTAACAAACACATAAAACACTCTTCTCAGTGAAAATAGACAATATGTACCACTAATTAATTTTTAATCCAGTACCCATAGTTAATAACATACTCAAGTGTGACATCAAACCCTTTCAAATGTGTTTCAGCCAAATTTATCTCAGCACCTGGTGCTGAGAGAGATTTGGCTATTGTATAGATAACACAAGTAATGCTGTCATTCCCGATAGGAAAATGCAAGAGCCAACAATAGGAAGGAGGAAGGGAGCAAGCCAGGGGAGCAGGCTCTGGCCCCTGTGCTCTGCTCACAGGGTCATGTTTTCATAGCTTCATTCCATCTGGCCAATGGGAGCTTTTTCTCCCATTGGCATCCTGACCCCTGGCTACATCTCCCCTCCCTCTGGGTCGAGATGCCTCTGCTACTTCAATACCTGGCGAATCCTAAAAACTGAGAAATGACTATCAATGCATGATCTCCTTAAGCCACACCATGCTAAAAGAATCCCCTTAGCATTACTAGAATTTAGAACGTAGGGGCTCAAGTCCTAACACCGACCTTCCTATTTGTGTCAGCTTTGGAGAATCACTTGACATGTCTGCATTTTAGTTTCCCACTCTCTAAGATGGGAGTGATGACGGGTATTCTAGCAAATAGGCAGACAGATACAAAATCATCCTGTATAGTATTACATGTCAATAAAATGTAGACTGTTAATAAGTTTATTTATCACGCACACAACAGGATCCTCAGACTTGCCAGAGCCTTTTAACTCTGGGCTTAAATGAGTTAGTCAACAGCTAATTCTGAGACCCAAAATGTCAATAGTTACTAAATAGTAAGCCGAAACTAACATCTCCCCCACAAGACTGTAACTCACGCCAACATTTTTTCATGAGTTCAATAGCCTCTGATTAGCTGGCTTTGCCTCTATTTTTTTCTCCTTATTTCCTGGGTTTATGCAACTTCCATTGCCAGCTAAAACCGAAATCCCTGAAAATCTGAATTGAGTGTGCCAAGCACAATTCTGACAGCCCTAAACAAACTCAGGGTTTAGTTAAGGCCCCTCTGAGCTAAGTGCTCATCCTCTGGGATTCCAAAAAGTCCCTAGACAATCATTTCCTCTGCCTCCTGGGTTCTCCAAATCTGCTGTCCTTGAAATATAATTAGATAGTCAGCCAGGCCAGAGAGTATGCAGAGAGCCCATGGCTATTCAAAGAGGTAATTTGCTCATTCTTCCTGCTTAGTCCATCTCTTTCCAGATCTCAGTTTTCTCTTCTATTAAATGGGGATGATGGTTACCAAGCTGATGACCTTGGAGGCAATTAAGAAAAAAATGAGTAGCTTTGTCTGGGGCACTAGAAAATGCTTCATAAATATTCCACTTCAGTTGGAATTTAAGAGATAAGAAAGAAATGACCACTAGTGAAGGTGGGAAAGATTTTGCCATATTTTTATATTCTGCTAAAGGTAGATCAAATAACACTACCTGAGAAGGTCAACAAAAGAAATAGCAGAAATCAAGGCATGAGAAGGTGAACATTTAAAGCACATTCAAAGAAGAGAGAAGACTTTGATATGCTTGCGTTTTCTAGTGATACAAGAAGGCAATGGGAAATAAGACTGGAATATTGTGAACACTCTAAACTATAAAGGGTCTTGAATATCATGGTAGGGGGATGGATTTTATACTGACCCAGAGAACTCTTTTTAAAGAGCCTTAAAGACTTTGACTTTTTTTTAAAGCTTTTTTAGAGCTTAAACATATTTGTATATGTAAGTATATCTAGTCTTTAGAAAATTACTTCATCAGCTGTGTGAAAGATGCAATATAACAGCATCCCGCAAAGTGCATTCTGAAGGCACAAACTCAACTGGTTGTTAAAAGCTGTCACACATATATAACTAGACACTCAAGTCCACAGATATCACACATAGGAATCCTACAACACATGTTGAAAGAACAAATGAGTTGGGATTAACAAATTTTAGGTTCGAGCAAACTAATTAAGGTTTTTGTTATCAATTTTGTTTCCTTTGCCCATTTAACCATAGAGCTTCCTAGGACATCTGATACACTGATATGCTTCATGTATCTCCAGAAGGAGAAAGAATAGGTGAGTTTTCATAATTTTATTTGTTATAAAACTTCTTTCATCATGCAAGCCATGGGGACCAGCGCTCTAATATGGAAAACACTGTGGGGAGCATTAGATTAAAAAGAGAGATTGTAGGCAGTGAGCCCTTGCAAGGAGCGATTTAGATAACTCAAGAAAGCAGGCACAGCACCTGAACTACAATAGTGCCAGATGGGTTGGAGAGGAAGAAAGGCTTAGGGGACGCACTGTGAAAGAAACATGGACAAGACTTAATGATTAAACTGATGTCAGGAAAGAAGAAGATGAAGAATCAAAATGATTTCTGGGTTTTTAATCAGGGAAATTGTGGCCCTCTGCTATTTATATAACTTGACCCTGAAGTAATTTATGAAAATCCATTAGAATTGAGGTGTTGCTTTTATCTTTGCTTTCAAGAGGTACCCCAAAGTGGGAAAAGTGAAAATTCTTTGAAATTGTCACTCGCCTGCATGATTTGGTATAGGTATGTATGTGTGCATCTGTCTACCTATCTTATATATTTATATGTATATAGTTAAAGATCTATGTATATGTTAGACATTTTAACACAAATATTTTCTACAATATGCACACAAATGAATAAAGTCATTGTGACATCTTTGTTTATAATTTAAATAAATGTTAGAAAAAATTGTTAATAAATGCCAGGAAAATTGTTAAACACATCTGAATATATTAATACAACATAATACTGTGTGAAGCCATCATAAGTCATGTCTTAAAGAAGAAAAACCTCCCACTGTATAACATAAGTGTCAAAAAGAAGGGAGGTTATAAAGCAGAATATACTGGCAATTTTGTTAAGAAAAATTTGTTGGCCTTACATGCATAGAAAAACAATCATATAGAAACATAGCAATATTTTAACAGTAGTTTTATTCAGACAGGGGAATTAATGGTAACTTGGTTTTGCCTACATATATTAAATTTCCCAAATGCCTATGTGGTACTGATTAAATAAAAAATATTTGTATTTTCAGTGAGATATATTTTTAGCAGAATATAATCATGATTATTATTATTGCAGAAATGATACAGTAGTTTTGCCACTCACTTTTCTATCCTTCTTTCTGTTGGAAGAAGTTATTGAGAGGATGTGACCGCTGGTTATACTGTGAGCTGGACCTGGGCAATTGGAGGCTATTTGTGTCCTCACCTGCCCTTGGAATGTTCATTCTGTCCACTGTTCCCATAGCAGGAGCCATTTCAAGGACACAACCTTGAAAGAGCAATGTGCTATTGGAACCACCTAGTTGGTATACGTGGCTGAATCCTGTTAAGGCCTCTATATAAACTTTTAGGGTTCTGGTGGGTGGATGCAGAGATCTACTAGTCTTGTGGCTGCTCAAGACAAGCCTAGTGTATAAGTTCACTTTCTTATTAAAACTTTTACCTACAAATCTGGAACAGTCTTCCTCTTTCTTTGGTCTCTCCTTGCACTCCATGTATGGAGGCCAGTTTTCCTCAGAAAACTCCTAATGTTGCAAAACAATTTGTTTCATTCATCCTTCCACCCTTTCCATCCATCTACCCATCTCTGTAATCCAGAAACACTGAGGATATGCAGCATGTGCCAAGTTATTTTCTAGGCTGCTGGGTTAGACCATGTCCTATAGACACGCCAGCCACAAAGTCAGTGGGGGAGGGCCAGCATCAACCAGTTCAGTATATTTTTGGTCCCCAGTCTTTGCTGAAGGCAGGAAGCATATCAAGTGCAAAAGAAGAGCCATTTGTTTCTCAAGATACTTGTCAAAATCAGAGCTAACTATGCAGAGCGAGGAAATACCCATGGATAAATCCTTCACATGCATCTGGAGTAGCTGGGGAAGGGTTGGGAAGGGTGAAACCTAATGTCTTTAGGAAGTTGAGAAGTGACATATGGACAGTCACAAGAAATTGGGATAAATAACAAAACTGAGGGCTGTGGGAACCTAAGAGAAATGACTACAACTTGAAAAGTCAATAAAGTCTTTAGAAATTGAAACTCTCCAAAGGTGAAGAAAATATGATGATTTGAAAATAGGGGGCTGTAGATGGAGCTAGCAACATGGCTGTGGAACTCTTCTTCTGTGTGCAGGCAAGTTTGTGTGTAGGTATGTGCCTTTGAGATGGGGTCGTGGGGAGACATTGTGGACAGCTTCAAATTAATGGGTTAGAAGCTACTAATCTGGGTATGGTGAGGTCATATAGAGATATCATAAATCACGAAGGCACTGAGTAAAACTTGTTTTGAAGGGCCCTGAGATCTTGGGGAATTTGAAACTTGGAAGTATATCATTTTGAAAGATTAGCATTCCTTTTTCTTTCTTCTATGAAACGTTGAAGAAGTTTATTCTCTTAGACTATTCCCTTGTTCCAAGTTATTAGACAAAAGGGCTTTATTATGACACACACAGAGCAAACCCCACCTCTACCCCTTTAAATTGGGGGATTTGTAGAGCTACTCCACGACAGCACATCCGACAATAAGCTTTGAGCTTAGTTGAGAATGGTGCGGGCCATGCCGAAGCAGAGATTCAACTTCAGTCCTTCAATACACACACACACACACACACACACACACACACACACACACACACACAGCCAGACCCTTATCTGGGTCTAAGCCTTGATGGTTAGAGGGGTTTTGCCAGAAATGAATGCAATGTCTTAACAAAATATTAGTGAACCAAGTGATCTAGGCTTAAGCAGAGATGTTCAAAGACATAGTTTTCACAGAGTAGAAGGTAGCTACTATTCAGCTCCACCCAGAGGATAAGACTCTTTAGAGAAACATTGGGTATTAGCACCCTAGGCCTGGGCTTAGTGGCTTCTAAGGGGCATGACAAATATGGCAGATTCATAGGCTATAGGCACTAACAAGAGAGAAAAGATATGGGCCTCTTTGTGGTGATGGTGGCTGCCAGACTGATTTGTGAACACATGTTAAGTCCTCTGAGAACTCCCCAAAATTATTAAGAAAGGGTGAAGGGCAATCAGAGTAGGTAGCATGAGTCACTGAGAAGGCAACTGAGCCCCTGTAATTTGAGCATAAATGTCAGTGCAATTACTATTGTCCTCCTAGGCTAAGGAAGACCCTGATTTATGAGCTCTGTATCTAGAGAAGGAACAAAACCAAAGCTGAACTTCTGTTCATTATTTGCCCCCACAGATGCATGCATTCCCACATCCTAAATATGGCTCTTTTTCTACCATCTGCTCCTTTGCACTTGACAATAAGGCCAAGTTAGGGGAGATCACAGAATATTAATTCTCTTTTCTTTCCACAACCAAGCCTTTTTATTATCCTAGCAAGTAAGACTAGTTCTTTTACTTTTTAAAATTAGTTTCTCATTCAGCTTTGCATAGGCCTTGGGGATTGAGAAATGGAAAAAAAAGAAGTGGGATTAAAATATAGGTCAGCTAGTAAGTTATTTACAAACACCTGTTACAGAACAGGGGGATGCTCAGCGGAATCCTTGGAGAGGGCCTAAAAGATAGACATAAAGAAGGACAATTACTTTCTGTGCGAGAGTCTCCTCTTTGGGGGTCAAAGCTACACTCCCGAGATGCTGAAGCAGATCTTTATTTTTTCCTAAAACTCAACAGACAGCATCTTCAGAACCTAATTTGATTTTGATTGATTTTTGAAACTTGAAACACTTCTAAACTAATTTTCAGTATATTACTCTTGTCAACGCTTAAAGATTTTGTCAGGAAGAATTTGCTGAACAGACACAGTAATTTTGTTTCTCACTCTGGCATATCACCCCTAAAGAGGAAACCCGGGGAGGGGGTGGCTCTGTTACTACAGCTGCTGCTATTAGAATATCCATTGCAATTACTTTGCTGCTATTTGGGGGGACTTCTCAAGTAGTTCATGCTGTACCCATGAGAGCTGCAAGTATTTAAATAAGAATTACATGGAACCATTGACTCCTCTTAGGTCAGACCTGGGATATAGATGAGGGAATCGAGGGCTGAGGAGAAGAGATTCATCCAAGGTCACAGAGCAATTTAGTGGCCGACTTGTGATCGAAGAGCGTCTTCACCTCTTTAGCCTGTTTCTGTCCCTGTTCTATCAAGAAGCACAGAAGTCAGGTCCGCTCTGCATTGGTCATTGTTAGGAGATTTTAGTGAATAAATACATCAGCAATAACTTCAATGGCAGAAGGGGTATCAAACTGAGGTCAAGTCACCAATCAATAGGCAGTAAAAGCCACTCTGAAAGCCCAGCACAATGCTCCTTTACAAAGTGCTGTGTTAACAGTGTCTTCCTTTTTGGTCAAGGCAGTAAGCAGATCTATCGGGGGCCACTGGAAATAGCAGCAGCATTACAAAATAATAACCTCTGCTCATGTCAACATTATGCCGGAAGGGGTGTCAAAGAGTGGTTTTCTTTTATTGCTTTTGCCACCCAGGGCATGTGGATGTGGACAGATGGACGAGCTCATTCTAACAAATAAGCAGCGGGGACAAACTGTGCGGGCTCAAGCTGGTGATCTTTGTTTGACAAGCAGGCACCTGTGATTGTCTGCGTAAAAATATCAGCAGAGGCAAAGCAAAGCATTATTCAGGAGGGGAGAGGAATTAATAGTGATTCCCCCCAAATATAAACATGCTAAGCCTCAGCCTCATAGGAATGACAGCAAAGTGTCTGTGTGGTAGCATTTGGGGAAACGTGAGAGATTTCTGGGGTGGAATTCATTGCAGAAGCATTTTGGAAAATGTGGGAAATGAATTGAACATTACAATGTAGAGTTTAGGTGAAACAGGGGTCCTCTGAGCATTGTCCAGGGACCTGGATCAACAGCATCATCAAGGAACTTGCTAGAACTGTACATCCTTGGGCCACACCCTCTCTGTCCTACTGGATCAGGAATTCCGGGTCTGGGTCCCAGTCATCTGCATTTTAAAAAGCCCAATAGGTGATGGTGATGGCCATTCAAGTGTGAGGACAATGGAAGCAGGGAATACGGTGTAAAGAAGGTTAACAGAAG